CAATGATGTTCTCCCATACAGTGGGTTGCCTTTCCATTTTGATGGTTGTTTCTTTTGCTGTGCAGAAGCTTTTTAGTTTGATGTAGTCCCATGTGTTCATTTTTTTCTTTATTTCTATTGCCTTAGGTGATATATCAGTGAAAATTCCTCTGTGTATGATGTCCAAAATTTTGTTGCCTATATTCTAGAATTTTTATGAATTCACGGGTCACATTTAAGTCTTTTATCCATTTTGAGTTTATTTTTGTGTAATGTTGTAAGTTGATGGTCTAGTTTCATTTTTTTGCATGTAGTTGTCCAATTTTCCCAACACCATTTATTAAAGAGGTTGTCTTTACTCCACTGTATGCTCTTGCCATCTCTGTCAAATATTAATTGAGCATATTGCCTTGGGTCCATTTCTGGGTTCTTTATTCTGTTCCACTGGTCTATATGCTGGTTCTTGTACCAGTACCAGGCTGTTTTGATTACAGTCGCTTTGTATTATAACCTGATATCTGGTATTGTGATCCCACCTACTTTGTCCTTCTTTTTCAAAATTGCTGTGGCTATTTGGGGTCTTTTTTTGGTTTCATATGAGCTTTTGAAGTATTCTAGTTCTGTGAAATATGTTGTTGGTATTTTGATGGGGATTGCATTGAATCTATAGATTGCTTTGGGTAATATGGACATTTTAATGATGTTAATTCTTCCAATACATGAACATGGTATGTGCTTCCACTTTTTTATATCTTCCTCTATTTCTTTTTTCAATGTCCTGTAGTTTTCTGCAAATAGGTTCTTTACTTCTTTGGTTAAGTTTATTCCTAGGTATATTAATTTTTTTGCCGCGATGGTAAATGGAATTGGTTTTTCAGTTTCTCTTTCTGTGAGTTCATCATTGGTGTATAAGAATGTCGTTGATTTCTTGACATTAATTTTGTATCCTGCTACTTGGCCAAATTCATTTATTAAGTCTAGTAGATTTTTGATGGAGTATTTAGGGTTTTCTATTTATAATATCATGTCATCTGCAAATAATGACAGTTTCACTTCCTCCTTTCCAATTTGGATCCCTTTTATTTTTTCTTCCTGTCTGATTGCTGTGGCTAAGACTTCCAGTACAATGTTAAATAAGAGTGGCGAAAGTGGACATCCCTGTCTTGTTCCTGTTCTTAATGGAAATGTTTTTAGTTTCTGTCCATTGAGTATGATGTTGGCTGTAGGTCTTTCATATATGGCCTTTATTATGTCGAGATATGATCCCTCTATTCCCACATTGCTGAGCTTTTCTATCAGAAATGGATGCTGGATTTTGTCTAATGCTTTTTCAGTGTCTGTTGATATGATCATGTAGTTTTTATTCTTCATTTTGTTTATCTGGTGTATCACATTTACTGATTTGCAAATATTGTACCAGCCTTGCATCCCTGGAATGAATCCCACTTGGTCATGGTGAATAATTTTTTTGATGTATTGCTAGATCCGATTTGCTAGTATTTTGTTCAGGATTTTGGCATCTATGTTCATCAGGGATATTGGCCTGTAGTTTTCTTTCTTTGTGGTGTCTTCTTCTGGTTTTGGAATTAGAATTATGCTGGCCTCATAAAACGAGTTTGGAAGTCTTCCTTCATCTTGAATTTTTTGAAACAGTTTGAGGAGAATGGGTGTTAGTTCTTTGAATGTTTGGTAAAACTCCCCCGTGAAGCTATCTGGGCCTGGGCTTTTGTTTGCTGGGAGAGTCTTGATTACATCTTCAATTTCCTTAGTTGTTATTGGTCTGTTCAAGTTTTCTATCTCTTCCCGGTCCAGTTTTGGGAGACTGTGTGTTTCTAGAAATTTGTCCATTTCACTTAGATTGTTAAATTTCTTGCCATATAATTGTTCATAATAGCTGTTAATGATCTTTTTTATTTCTGTGGTGTCGGTTGTTACTTCTCCTCTTTCATTTCCGATTTTGTGTATTTGGGTTCTCTCTCTCTGTTTATTGGTGTCTAGCTAAGGGTCCATCAATCTTGTTTATCTTTTCGAAAAACCAGCTGTTTGTTTCATTGATCCTTTGAATTTTTTTTTTTTTTTTGGACTCTATGTCGTTTATTATTTCTGTTCTGATCTTTACTATTTTCTTCCTTCTACTTGTTCTGGGGTTTTCTTTTTGTTTGCTTTCTAATTCTTTAAGTTGTGAGGTTAGACAATCAATTAGAACTTTTTCTTGTTTCTTGAGGTAGGCCTGTAGTGCTATGAACTTCCCTCTCAGAACTGCTTTTGTTGCATCCCACAGATTTTGTGTTGTTGTGTGTTCATTTTCATTGGTTTCCAGAAAGTTTTTAATTTCTTCCTTGATCTCCTTGGTAACCCATTAATTGTTTAATAACATGCTATTGAGCCTACATGTGTTCAAATGTCTTTGCATGTGTTTGTTGCAGTTGATTTCTAGTTTCATGCCATTGTGATCTGAGAAGATGCTTGATATGATTTCAGTCTTCGAACCTGTAGAGATTTAGTTTGTGTCTTATCATGTGGTCTGTCTTTGAGAATGTCCCATGTGCACTTGAGAAGAATGTGTATTCTGTAGTTTTGGGGTGTAATTCTCTGTAGATATCTATTAAATCCATTTGGTCTAGTGCTTCATTTAGAGTCTCTGTTTTCTTGCTAACTTTTTGTCTAGAGGATCTATCCAGTGGTGTCAACGGGGTGTTGAAGTCCCCTGCTATGATTGTATTGCTGTCGATTTCTCCTTTGAAGTCCTCCAGAAGATTTTTAATATATTTTGGTGCTCCTATATTGGGTGCATATATGTTTATCAAGGTTGTATCTTCCTGTTGGATAGATCCTTTCAATATTATGTAGTAGCCTTCTTTGTCTCTAGGTATGGTCTTCATTTTGAAATCTATTTTATCTGATGTGATTATTGCTACCCCTGCTTTTTTTTGCTTTCTGTTTGCTTGGAAAATTTTTTTCCATCCCTTCACTTTCAACCTATGTGAGTCTTTTGTGGTGAGGTGGGTCTCTTGTAAACAACATATAGATCAGTCATGCTTTCTTATCCAGTCAGATACTCTGTGTCTTTTTATCGGAGCATTCAGTCCATTTACATTTGAGGTGATTATTGATATGTACTTATTGCCATTTTTGTTTAGTTTGGTTATATTTTTCTTCCTATTTCTTCTACTAATTACAGCAGTCATTTTAACATTTCTTGCAGTGCTGCTTTGGTGCTAATGTATTCCCTTAGCCTTTTTTTTTGTCTGGGAAGTTCTTTATTTGACCTTCTATTTTGAATGACAGCCTTGCTGGGTAGAGTAGCCTTGGATTCAGACCCCTGTTTTTCATGATCTTGATTACTTCATGCCACTGCCTTCTGGCCTGTTTTGTTTCTGTTGAGAAGTCAGCTGAGAGCCTTATGGGGTTTCCTTTGTAGGTAATCTGTTGCTTCTCTCTTGCTGCTTTTAGTATTCTTTCTTTGTCTTTAATTTTTGGCACTTTGATTACTATGTGTCTTGGTGTGTGACTGTTTGGGTTCTTCTTACTTGGGGCTCTCTGTGCTTCTTGAACTTGAATGCCTTCTTCATTCACCAAATTAGGGAAGTTTTCTGTCACTATTTCTTCAAAGATACTCTCTAACCCTTGCTCATTTTCTTCTGCTTCGGGGACTCCTTTGATGCGAACATTATTACATTTCCAGTTGTCCCACAGTTCTCTTAAGCTGTCTTCCTGTTTTTTAATCGTTTTTTCCTTTTGGTTTTCTGATTGGTTGATTTTTTTTCTACCCTATCTTCAAATTCACTGATCCAGTCCTCAGCTTCCTCTGCTCTGCTCTTTAGACTTTCCAATGTGTACTTTATTTTTGATATGTCACTCTTGATCTCTTCTTGGTAATTTTTAATTCCCAATTGGTTTATTTTCAGCATCTCTATTTCCTTACTCATGCTGTTGAGCTTCCTCAAGCTCATGGCTCTGAATTGTAGCTCTGTTAACTTGCCTAACTGCTCCACATTGATCTCATCTTCTGTGGAGGTCTCTTGTTCTTTTATTTGGCTTTTGTTTCTGTGTTTCACTATTTTGGCTATCACAGTGGGCTTTGGAGCCTTCCTAATTTTCCCGGTGGGTATTGGTGTTCTGCTGTTTGTGGCTCCATCTCCTGGGTTTAAATGAGCAAGGGAGGACCCACGTTAAACAACACTGTCAAGTCTTACTTTCCTGGTTAGAGTTGCTAGCCCAGGAATGATACTGTTATCCTCTAGCTTTTTGCCTGGAAGCTAGCTGTCCAGGTTACCTGAAGAGTTTGGGGTTGTTAGTTGATTGAAAAACTCCCTCAGGTGCTCAGGGTAAGGGGATTTCCTAAGGGTGGGTAAGATGGTGGTTGTTAATGAGCCTCAATTAGCATTTCAATGGCCACCAGGTGGGGTTGAATCTTGGAGGGAAGGGCTGCTGCCTCTCCCCAGAGCCCTGGGAAGGAGCAATATAGCCACCGTCCTGCGTGGCTGCAACTCAGCAAAAGCTCTGAGTGCTCTCCAAATCCCAAGTGTCTCCACATAGTTCCAGTCCAGTCTGCCCTCCCTCTGCCGGAGCCAAAGGTTAGTGGCTGTGGGTATTTTAGCATCTGTCCCGGCTCTGCACTGTGGAGCTGCTTGGGAGTTTAAGCCAAGGGTGCTGCTTACAGCTAAGGCCGCTGTGGAGCTGTTGACTGTGGGCTCCCAGCCCTCATCTGGCGTTTTTGCAATCCTACCAGGATCGAGTCAGTGTCCCTGGTTATATGGTCCTGGCAAGCTGCTTTTCTGTTCCTTTTTTCCGTCGGTTTGTCTGTGTTTTAGTTGTAATACCAGTTTGGTCCTGGGAGACGGTCTGTGTAGCTTCCATTCACTCCGCCGCCATTTTGGAATGTCTAGCATAGTTCATTTGAGGCTCATTTATGTTGTTAAGTGTCTCAGTGTTCCTTCTATTGCTAAGTAGTATTACATTGAATCTGGAACAAATATATTAACAGCCTTGCTCTGTTTTGTTTTTTTCTTTATTTTTAGCTTTCCAGAATATTGGATCTTCCACCAGAAAACTTGATCAAGTCAATATCTGCAGTTCCAATTTCCAGAAAAGAGTTAAGTATAAATAATGTTTGTAATAATTTCAAATGTTGCTGACTTTGTAAATATACAAAAAGAAACCTACTTTTCAATTTAGAGTAGTTCTTGAAATGAACCATATTAGTATCCTTGTGTTGTTTTGATGTTTATTTATGCTAATAAATATAATCATGGCAAAGTCTTTAAAAGAATGAAGAATAAGGTTCAAATTTAATTTTGTAACAGCAAGTAAAAGAAATAAGATTGTGGTTAGGATCTCAGAGTTTTTGAAGGACTCTGAGAGATTATACGCCTTTCTGATGCTTAAATGCCACGTACAACATTTACCTGCTAGGTTTTTTGTGCAGTTTTTTTGGTCCCCATTTGAGGACTCCCAGTGAGTGATAAAGGGAACTATTGATTAGGATTATGTGCAACTATTACTTGCCTTGTTGGATTCAGGTAAATATCTATCTCTGTGAGTTTGGTCATTCTAAATGATACTTGTTTACCATTTAGATAGAAAACTTTAATATTTTGATAAAATACTCTCTTGGCCAATTAATAATGACAAGAAATTCACTACATAGTAGGCATTTAAGCCTCAAGCTTTAGAAAGATGTAAAGATATAATCATCAGTACCATTATGTCCTTATGTTTTGTCCCCTTTGTCAAGATTTTAGATTCAGTAGGACAAATATTCTTGCTCTCAGAGTAGGACAAAAAGATAAGTGGAAAAGGAAAAGAAAACTGTATATAGCATTGCAAAAGAGAGCATCTTTAAAATGGCCTGCTGCAACTTCCTCTAGATTGAGTTCTAAGATCCACTGACCAAGAAGATGTTACGATTATGTATACATTGATGTAATGTTCCAGACCAATTACCTATTTCATAAAATCTGTAAATGACATTCTGCATAATCATAGGAATGTCTCTGTTTCAAAGGTCTATAATGAACTGAACTGTGTTGGCCCATCTTGTGAATAAGATTTCCTTTACCTGCCTGGAGTTCCTTTGGGTAGCTCTACTTTAACAATTCGAAATGCTAAGACTTTGGTTTATAGAAAATAAATATTGGGGAAGAACTCAAAGCTTTTCTAAACTACAAGTCTAAAATTCTACATATTACATTCATTTAAAACGAAGGGAATTTCTAATGCTTTGCCATAGTTAACCCAACTGTCCTTTACAGTATTAAAACCAAGCCTAACTGTTCTATATTTCTAACTTTATTCTAAAGTGCTATTAAGTGTCAGGAGATTAAGAAATATTATTTTTGTTAATGTGGTTTATTTAATGTGATATGAATCAATTTGCTCAGGTCTTCTAGTTCAATTATATTTTCAACTATGGTGGAATTTCTATTTAATATTGATCACAGTACAGAGGATTAATAATTGTTACAAGCCAGTAGTACTCCGGTTTAGGGATTTCACTCTAGCACAACAATAATAACTCCTCAGAAGTAGGGGGAAAGTAACTATTGCTTTTTAAACTTAAAAAAATTTTTTTACCAATATTAAAGTTGAGGAAATAGATTAATGACCCCTATGTGCCCATCAATTACTGTCATTAGCTTATGACCAGTTTTGTTTTATCTGTACCCCTACCCACTCTTCTTCTTCACAATGGGTTATTTTACAGCTAGTTTAGATGTTATGCCTTTTTAATAGTTTTTCTTCAATTAATTTGTTTTTCTATCACAAAAACAAAACATAATCTTAAGGAAAATACAGAAAAATAAGAAGGGAAAAAATTCCCATTAGTCTGTGTTGAGACATCTGATGTTAGCAAGTTGGTGTATTTTCGCATTTTCTCTTTGAATATGTCTTGCACCCTTTAAAAAAACATAGTGATAGCCCTGGCCAGATTGGCTCAGTGGTTAGGGTATCGGCCTACAGACCAAAGAGTCTCAAGTTCAGTTCTGGTCAAGGGCACATATATACCTGGGTTTGGTCCCTGGCCTGGTTGGGGTCATGTGGGAGGCAACCAATCGATATGTCTCTCTAACATCAATGATTCCCCTCCTGCCCCCTCCACACACACACACTGTCTGAAGATAAATGGAAACATATCCTCGGGTGAGGATTTGAAAAAAAATAGTTATAAAACTACTGTATGTATGGTTTTTAATCCTTTTCCCTTGGCATCATTTTTTTTTTCTGCTAAATATCATTTAAACAATGGCTAAGTAGTACTCTAATTCTCCCCTGCTAATGGACATTTAGAATGTTTTCAGACTTTTTGCATAATTCACATTTAAGAATTACATCTTTAAATAGACAAAGCAAAAGTTCCATGTGGTTATATAATTGAAAGCTCCCAAAAGGGAAAAATGGGAAATAGGTCAAGTCTGGTTGATCCCTGTCTACCTCCTTAAAGCATTTATTTTTCTTTTGGGTCTTTTTTACTGCCAAATAGCCCTTCACATAATTTCAGAATTCATGTTTTAAATATTCCTAGTTTAGTGAATTATTGTTAATCATTTTTAATATACTAAAAGGGTTATATTTTTAAATTTGTCCTTCTGCTGAACTAATAGGGGATATTTGTGATTTTATTGAGATGAAATTTTACATTCATTTGAACTAGTTTATTATTCAAGTCCAGAATAAAATTGTAGATGCCACCCACTATTTATAATTTTAAATAATTATCTATAGAAAATCATATGACCTCTGTGTTTCCTGGATGTTTTGAGAGCCATCCTATAGGTTTATGGTCATATTTAACCTATAAAAAGTATCCTTGCTAAATGTTAAAAATCATAGTTTAATCTTTGGTATATTCTAATCTGTATAATTTCAATTAATATTGTTAATATGGATCTTATTACTTTTAATTTGATTATTTTCATTACAAAAATTTTTGTGTTTGTGTGTTACTCCCATTTTGTTAAACATATCTTCAGTGCCCCACGTTATTGGCACAAATACTTGACTAAGCTATCAGAGTCCTTTGGAAAGAATAAGTAAAATAAATACATCCATACCTTATATGAGTTCCATAGTTAAAGTTAATCTTTAGATTGTTGTCTGGCCGGTGTGGCTCAGTAGATTGAGTGTTGTTCCATGGACAGTGCTTCTCAACCTTCCTAATGCCGTGACCCTTTAATACAGTTCCTCATGTTGTGGTGACTCCCAACCATAAGATTATTTTCATTGCTACTTCATAACTGTAATTTTGCTACTGTTATGTCTTAGGTGAACCCTGTGAAAGTGTCGTTCGACCCCCAAAGGGATTGTGACCCACAGGTTGAAAACCGCTGGATTAAGAGGTCCTGGTTCAATTCCTGGTCAGGGCATATGCCTGGGTAGCGGGCTTGATTCCCAGTAGGGGGTGTGTAGGAAGCAGCCAAAAGATGTTTCTCTCTCTCCCTCTCCCTTGTCTATCTAAAAATCAATGAAAACAGGGGGGAACATCTGTAAGAAAAATAAATTAAATAAAAATCAATAAAAACATAATAAAAAAGAGAATCAGATTTTCATTTTATTGTTAGAGAATACTCTTGGGGGGAAAAAACATAGTACAGTTTGCCAACCAAGCTAATATATGAAGAACTACAGACAGAATAATTCCCAGGGCTCAATACTGGTACTATTAAACATTTTTATTTAACATCAGAACTAGGATCAGTATTATTTAACCAGAACTTAACTCTCAGCAACATTATGAAGGTAGGTACTATTATTACCATTTTATAGAGGTTACAAGGGAGGTTTAAGCAACATGACCAAGATCACACAGACACTGATTAATAGATGAATTTGGGTCTGTAGTTACAGATTAAATGTCAGTAGATGAGTTTGGGTAAGTAAGTATAATTCACACTAGGCTGCTGGATAATGGATTAAGGCTCAGGAAAATTCTTAAAGGTCATTGTTGACTAGGTTCTTTAATGTGCTATTAAACAGAAGGTACACGGGATTTTTTTTGGTATATCTCTAAATTTGAAGAGTGATAAGAATAAAGTCACTTGTGCCCCTCTAAAATGTGTTCTTTTGTGTCAGTGACAGTGGTTCAACTCACTCTGCCCACAGAAACTCATTCTCTGGTTTCTTATTAAGTATCAGATGTTCAATATGGGTAATTATGTAGACGTTTCTATATCAATTAAAAATTATTTTACACTTTGTTTTTTTTGTTTGGTTTCTTTTTAAATTTTCTTTTTCTTTATTGGTTTTTAGAAAGAGAGGAAGGGAGAGGGGGAGAGAGAGAAAGATAGAAACATTGATGAGAGAGAACAACAATTGGCTGCCTCCTGCTTGCCCCCACTGGGGATTAGGCCCACAACCTGGGCATGTGCCCTGACTGGGAATCAAACCGGCGACCTCTTGGTGCATGGGTTGATGTTCAACCACTGAGCCACACCGGCTGCACTGTTTTACTCTTTGAATTATTGCAAACCTACAGAAAAATTTATAGAGAATAATGTAATGAAAATTTACCTGCTTACTTTCTAACATGTCAAATCTTAACTTTTTCCAAATTAGCTGCTTTACCTATCTCACAGAGATATCATAAAGCTACAATTAAGTAATAGAAGAAGAAGAATTTTTTAAGATGATAAAAGATAAAGTTCTAAATAAATACAAGGTGATGCTACTTCTAATTTCTTTGCTTTGTATACTGAAAGCATAATACCTTTTTCTTATAAAATTATGTCAATGTGGAGAACTCAGAGTGATCAGTGTTTTTGTTTTATACTAGTAATGTTTGTAGGGTAACAACAGCTTTTTCCTATTTCCATGTGTGTCTTTAGAGAATTAGCTGATTTTCAGCTTTCTGTGGATTCTCTATTGGAGAACAGTGACCATTCAAGACCAGATATTCAAGTTCAAGCCATACGACTGGCGGAGAAGGTACTTCAGCACTATTACCTTTTATTGACTTTATAATACACTTATTATTTTAAAGAAAAAAATACTCTGCAGGTTATCTCAGCCATAATAATGAATTTAATAATGTTTCTTTGTTGAAGGTACCTTGGAAAATATAATTTAAATTCATTTTAGCAATGTACTATAAGATAAGGATGATTTTTCAAGTTAATTATAGAGCATTCCTCTTAAGCTGACATTGTTGAATTTTTTTTTGATTAACTACCTACAGGAGGACTGAAGTGTTAATTAAATTTATAGATTGAAGCTGGATGGACTTTTGAATTTAGGAGAACAAGCTTTATAAATTAGAGTAGTAGATTGCACTTTTTAAAATGAATTTCTGAGAAGATGAACATTAAAATATAAGAAGAAATGATTAGATGGAAATAGAATCATGATTACAGAGAGAAAGCAGTTAGATGATTTAATAAACCTTTTTCATCTCTAATTTTTCTGATGAGTTTGGTATCTAAAAGAGGAATGAAAGGATTGTAGAGAATGACCATGTTGTCAGTATAATACCATCAAAAAAGGCAGGTGTTGGACAAGATTTAAGGTTATTACATGTGACACGAAAGAGGTGTCTGGGCACCCTAAAGAATTGGAACAATGAAAGTCACTATCATTGAAAAAGATGTTTAAAGAATGAGTATGATAAAGGAGCTTTGGTGGCTGAGTAAATATTTATTTGATCAAAAACCACCCATATTTTTATCAGTAAGTATACCAGGAATAGAATCATCCTAATTATAATATTTAGTCTCAAAATAAAAACCAGTGGCTCTTCAGTGACATGTGTATATCAGGTGCTTTGAATATCTAGTTGGTTAAAATTTTAAGGCATATTCACTGAAGACAGAGTATTTAAATTATTTACATTTTATGTATTGACGCAAATGCTTTGGCAAAGCCCCGACAGAATGTCATGTTCTGTGTCTTGTGAAAGGTGGGTGAGATGAAAAGAGTTCATTGCATGTCAGGGTATGTAGGGTGTGAGTAAAGTGAGGCTGTCTTTCTTCCATGTCAGGTAGAGAATTTGAGGTGAGGGAATGAGAAAGAGGAAGAGACTCTAAATACAGAATAGTGTTCTAGTCAGGAAAAGAAAAAACGTATTTACCCAAATAGAATGATTGACTTGAAGGGACTGGTTAAGACCCAGGTTCAGATATAATGACTGAGGGAGATGATGCACCTACTGCCTTTGGACAGTTGAAAAGCTAATAGTTTTAGAACTACAACTCTCATTAGGCTTATTTTATAATACACCTATTTTACTTGATCTCTTATCTTTTCAGCTAAAATGTGATACAGTGGTGAGTGAAATCAGCACTGGTCAGGGGACTATAAATTTCAAAATAAACAGAGAACTATTAACAAAGGTAAGAATGGGTTATGCTTCAGATCTTGCATTTTTACTCTCTCTCTTTGCTTTAGCTACAGTGCTTGCCCTCCAGTTCTTAAACGTATTGTGCCTCCTCTTGCATCAGAACTTTTGCACATTCTAATGCCTCTGCCTGAAGTGCCACCTCATCTTAACTCCTGCTTATCCTTCAGATCCTTATATTTCCTGGGCAGTGGTTTTCTGACTCCTTTATTGGTATACTCTCATAGCCCTGTATATCTCTCCTTGCAGAACTTTACCATAGTTTGTATTTTACATTATTTTTTATTAATTCCTGTTGCCTTTAAACTCTTATTTCCATTGGGGCTTATAGTTTCTGTTTTACTCACTGTTGGATCCTCAGTTCCTAATATAATGCCTGGCATGTAGTAGGTGTGCGATAACTATTGTTGAATGAATTAATGGACTCTGTATTGAATGTAAGAAAGGTACTGTTGGTTTCTGCTCTCTGGTAGCCTGTACTCTGTTGGAAGCATGTGATTTATACAGATGAAACCATAAGACAGCTTTGTCTTTTAATAAAACAATAAATGGCCCTGGTGAGTGTGGCTTAGATGGTTGGAGCATCATCCTGAATACCAAGAGGTGGTGGTTCAATTCTCAGTCAGAGCACATATCCAGGCTATTGGTTCCATTTCTGGTCATGGCATATGTGGGAGGCAACTGATTGATTTCTCTCTCTCTTCCCCTCTCTCCTCTTCATTCCTCCCTTCCTCTAAGATCAGTTTAAAAAGAAAAACAGCCCTGGCTGGTTTGGCTCAGTGGTTAGAGCGTCAGCCTGCGGATCAGAGTCCCAGTTTCAGTTCCAGCCAAGGGCATGTACCTCGGTTGTGGTTCGTCCCCAGCCCTGGTTGGGGTCGTGCGGTAGGCAACCAGTTGATGTTTCTCTCTCTCTCTCTCTCTCTCTTCCTCTCTCCCTCCCTCCTGCTCTATCTGAAGATAAATGGAAAAATATTCCCTGGTGAGGATTAAAAAAAACAACAACAACAAAACATGAAAGAGGTTTTTTAAAAATTTTTTTTTGGTCCTTTATTGATTTGAGAGAGAGGAAGGGAGAGGGGGAGAGAGACACATTGATGAGAGAGAACATTGATTGGCTCCCTCTTGCATGTCCCCCACTGGGGATTTAGCCCACAACCTGGGCATGTGCCCAGACCAGGAATTGAACCAGCGACCTCTTGGTGCATGGATTGACGCTCAACCACTAAGCCATACTGGCCAGACAAAAGAGATTTTTTAAAAAACCCCAAAATTCAATAAATAAAGATGATTTGGTACAATAAGCATAAGAGATAGATGAAAGATGGAAAAATCATGACGGCCTATAAGACTTGGGGAAATGGCATAGAGAAATTGGGTCTCAGATGAGGAAGACTGTGGAAGGCATATAATTCTGGATAGGCAGTGGTATGAGACCTTTGTTAAGAACTTAATCTCATTTAAACGTTAAAATTTATGATAATGCATGCTTTGGTATATTATTAAACACACACACACACACCAGTATTGAGTTGGTCAAGCTTAGTAAATGCTGCCTCTTGAATTGAAAATAACTATAAAACCAAAATTTCTAGTAATATATTTTTTCAGTCAAGAAGAGATAGTGTTACTTGTCTCTAGATCTTTTAACTTTTTTCTTTTATCTTTTTTTACTCTTCAAGGTAAATAATCAAAATTAGTCACAAGGACAAGAAGGACATTTTTTTTTTTTTTTTTTTTTTTGGTATGTGCCCTTAGAGGGAACCGAACCCGGGACTCTCTGGTCCGCGGGTCGATGCTCCAACTGCTGAGCCAAACTGGCCAGGGCAGGACATTTTTTTTGAGCCTTTTACAAAGTGTGTACAACCTGCTGGGCTCTTGATAACATTTCATGTCAATTCAGCAAACCAGTGATTCTTACTTGCCATTTTTTGAATAAGTGACTCTTCCAGTTGACTTAATTTTATTGAAGCAGAATTGCAGCTCACCAAAGTGTCCATCAAACTTTAGGCCATTTGATAGGGAGCAATGTGACACTTTTTTTTGTTTTTCATAGATGGGAAAATGTGCTATGGTAGATGGAGTTTGCCTTTACAGCCAGCTTAGCTGAAAGAGATGGGGTTTTTATTTTAAGGCAAGGCATATATTTACTTAATAATTTAAATATTTAATGGTATGTATTTTTATACTTTCTTACAATTAAACTGAGATTTTGTCTGGTTTAAGGATGCCCACTTGCTCGCTTATTAAAAATATTTCCAAATCCTTCTCAGTTGACAACAGAGGGAATAAGATTTAAGACTTTGAGGTCTGACTACTGTTTCTTACATAGCAATTCTCCCTTCATTTTGGCCTTGAGGATCTGGATCTTAGTGTGATTTTTTTTTTTTTTTTTATCCTCACCTGAGGACATTTTTGCATTTATGTTCAGATAGAGCAGGAGGAAGAGAGGGAAGAAGAGAGAGAGAGAGAAACATCTACATGAGAGAGACACATCGACTGGTCACCACCCACATGACCCCAACTGGGGCTGGGGCCAAACTACAACAGAGGTACACGCCCTTAGCGGGAACCGAACCCGGGACTCTCTGGTCTGCGGGCCAGTGCTCTAACCACTGAGCCAAACCAGTAGGGGCTTAGTGTGATCTTTGTTAAAGGAACAAACCAATTGCTCACAGTAGCTGTGCTCAGTGTCACAGTAAAGGTACATTCTAAAGCAGTGAATACACATAGCCTGAAAAAGGGTATCGAGTGTGCTTGTGTTATAAATTATAAATTTTGATGATAATTCTCTTTTGCTCAAAGTCTAATTTCTTCTACATCTGGCTCCATTATTTTCAGGCTTTAAACAGTGGTAATTTGCATGTTTAATGAATTTTTCAAATCATGTCAAGAAAAAAAGCATTCAACCCTTTTGGGACCATTATATATCTTTTTTTTTTTACATTTTAGAGTTGTCAAGATTGACATGTAGCCGATGATGTATGTCCAAAACTTCTCAAGCAGAGAATTATGAATTTGTCATTGCTTACACATGTACAAACTTAGCCTGCATGAAACATTATCTGTTCATGAATTGCATTTGAATTATTAGCACTGGCAGCACTAAGGATGATTAAATGTTAGCTTAAAAAATGTTTGGATCACTAATAGTGTCTTAAAGTCTCCTCATATAAATTATTCTCAAAGGTAGGTGGCTAAAATGTGAAATTAGAGGCAATAGAAACTGCCAAATCTCTGGGATCATAAATTTTTAAAGCTAGAAGATATGACCGGTTAATACATTGTGAAGAACTGTCACTTTGGTACCAAACTTTCACCTATAAGTAGCTTATGGATGATTTTCAAGAGAAGCTGTAACTTCAGGTAATAGTGAATTCACAGGGAGAGAAAAAATAAAATAAGAGTTTAACTAAATAGGAAAAGGTTAAACAGAATTCTGTTTTTTAGGTGTGCCTTAGAAATACTCAATGGATAACATTTTTGTTTCACATGTACACATGCATTTTTTATTTGTCAAATTCAACTTTGTGTGTTCTACCAAGACTTGAGAAAAAAAGAAAAAGAAATACTATTTTAAATGGTTCTAATTCTGCTCATTGTTTCATTAATAGAGTTTGTCAGTAGGCAGTCAGGATGCATTCAACTCACATATAGTGCCAGTTGGCTGAACACACGGAAAAAATTAATAAGCACTTTCCACTATTGACCAAAGAATTGGCTAGACAAATAGGTAGTGGTAGCTTGGTCGTGTTGAGAGCTGTAGAGAAATAGCAACCAACAAATAAAATGACAAAAGTCATCCACAGAAAGAGTGGTGGTGATAGATGAACAAAAAGTGTCAGCCAATTAGAATATTCATTAATTTTCTAAAGCATTCCAAAAAGTGTTACCTTTGAAAGATTTCATTTCTGATTATAAATTCATTATGCACCTATATTTACAGTACTGAGTACATCTTACATTTAGACATACATATTGATAGATTGACCTCTAGTTTGTTCATCTATTGGAATATGAGGGAACTTTATTAGCTCACTGACATTCTATACTTAACAGCTTTCTTCTGTGTATCCACTAATTTAATAAACCTCCTAAATAATAATTTTATTATTTATTATAATGTATTACAAATTAATTATAGTAATTTATACATTATAAATTAAACTCTTATTTACTTACTAAAATAATAAATGATTATAATAATAATAATATAAATCAAGATAAAATGGCCTGAATCCTGCCTTCAAGGTGCTTATGATAAAAAAGAAAAGCATAAAAAAATAGTGTAATGTGTGATAGATATGATATTGTGATGACTGATATAATGGAGGCATGTTTAAAGCTACAATCCAGTGTAAAGAAAGGTACACTTAAGTCTATCTTAAGGCAAGAGGAGAAAACCTTGTATTGGGATAAAGATAAAGAAGAATATACCTGGGAGATACAAGGTCAGGCATTCCAGGCAAGGGGACAGAGTACAGACAGTCAAGAACATGGCATTGTCTGGAAATCAGCAGATGATTCTGTTTTGCACACAGGATGGTATGGGGGAGGATATGAAATTATACTGTGAAGGGCCTTATGTGCTTTGCATAAAGAATTTTAGCTTTTTCTTGTGTCATAATTTTTCATGTGTGTTATGTGTACCACAGCTGATACATGTGATGATTTTTGATATTACACTAATGAAATTTCATTTTAATAGTTGTACAGTTGACTCTTAACACAGGTTTGAACTGCGGGGACCCATTTATACGTGGACTTTTCTCAATAAATACTGTAAATGTATTTTCTCTTCCTTAAAATTTTCTTAACATTTTTTCTCTAGTTTACTTGTTTGCAAGAATACTATATATAATACATATACAAAAATGTGTTAAACAGCTGTTTTATCGGTAAGGCTTCCAGTCAACAGTAGGCTATTAGTAGTTTTTGGAGAGTCAAAAATTATACATGGATTTCTTTCACTGTACCAGGGGTTAGCACTCCTAACCCCCATGTTCTTCAAAGGCCAACTGTGTATTTATATGTAAATTACACAAGATGATAGTTAGGTGTTACTGTTTTGTTGTGGTTGTTATTTTGTAGCTGACAGATGATGAGGGTCTGGTCTAAACCAGGGCAGAAAGTATAACTATAATGATATTTAGGAGCTAGCATGAGCAGGGCTTGGTGATTAATTTGGGATGGAAAAGGGTAATTCTTCAGAACTCCTAGGTTTCAGACTTGGTTAGCTGGGGTAAAGTTCATGGAAATGGAGAGTGCAGAGGGAAGAGAAGTATATTGTTTGAAATGCCTGCCTAGGATAGCTGTCCAGTCCTGAGCTGGATATATCATTCTGTAACACAGGAAAGATTTTGTTAGGTAAATAGTAGTTGAAGTCTTAACAATTTATACATAGGAGATGTGTAAAGTAAGGAGCTAGAAGAAGCAAGTAAGAAGTGCAGGGTGGGGAGTGAGGGGGGCACAGACAGTGGAAGAGGAGAGAGGGTAGTTGCAAGAAGAGTGTAGTCATCAGCTAAGATGGTATGTGAAAAGTTACCCTTGGGTAAGGCAGAAGGGACCAAGGTTAGGGCAGATGATCAAAAGCAACTCTGGACCTTAGCCTTACTTTAATTGTTTTTTATTTTAATTTACAAAAAAACAAGGTATTCATAAAAGTAATAAAATGTAAGTATTCGTTTAGGTTTGTAATTTAGAATTTTGATTTGGAGAGCACTTTCAGTGAAATAGTAGAGAAAAAAGCTCCAGGTGGCAGGTGGGTCAAATTGTTAAAGGAATGTTTGGAATTGAAGCATATATGTTAGTTCTTCATTAAAGTTACTTTTTTGTTTGTGCCAGAGATATCGACAAACCAAGTCATTTGTAAAAGAGAATTCTAACTTACTGCTATTACTACATTTGTAGAGTCTACCATCCATTACATAAAAAGGGATGGAAAGTGAAAAAGATGGGTAGGCCTCAACTTTAGAATGAACTGAATATGAATTTCTTCTCACTGTTTGTCTCCCCACTTACACTCTTCTTGTCACCTGTATTTGTGGAGTAACATTTAATAGGCCCCTAGTGTATGACAGGCACTGTTCTCTTTAATATCTATATATGTATTAATTCTTTATCTCTGTGTCCTGTGTACAGTGTGAGTGAGGAAAATACTTTTTTCTCTGTGTCCTTGGGCAAATACATGCTGTTTCTGAACCTTAGTTTTTGCAGCTGTTTAATGGCAAATGTTGCCTACCTTTAGGATTCTAAGGCATAAAGATGACAAAAGCATCTGTACTTGAACGTAGCACTCTGTCGACGCATCTTAAAAGTATTGCCTTGCCCTGGCCAGTTTGGCTCAGCAGTTAGAACGTCAGCCTGCGGTCCAGACAGACCCGGGTTCGGTTCCTGCTAAGGGCGCGTACTTCAGTTGCAGTTTGTCCCCGGCCCGGTTGGTCGTGTGGGTGGCAGCCACTTGATGTGTCCCTTTCACGTCGGTGTTTCTCTCTCTCTTCCTCTCTCTCTCTCCCACTCTATCTGAACAAAAAATGGAAAAATGTCCTAGGGTGAAGATAAAAAAAAAAGTATTGCTTTGCTGCTTCCTGCTACCTCTCTGCCTTTTCCACTAAATGATCATCTTAACCAACTCTATGATAGTAAAATTCTTCACTTCATGCACTGCATAGTTGGGACTCAGAATCCAGTTTGAGAAGCAAAACCATGAGTAAATAAAAGTCATATCACAATAAACTAAAAACCCTAAAGTAATAAATCATCACCATTAGCAAAAAAATTAAATATGAATTTTGTGAACTATACAGTAGTTCTGTATTAATAATTAAAAATTAACCTGGAACATGTTTTTGCGATTTCTGTAAGATTTCCTGGGTTTTTACTTATGTAGCCAACAGGCATTTGAATTATAATTTTTTAATTGTTTTCTACCATTACTTGAGATCATTAGTATCACAAAAGTAGCATCAGCATGCAGTAGTTAGCACATAAACTATGGAGTGAAAACAATTTTTGCTACATGACTTGATAGGCACATGACTTGGGTTCCCTCTCTGTTCTTCTGTTTCCTCATTTGTAAAAATGATACTTCTTAACTTAAGGTTGTTGTGAGGATCAAATGAGTAAATACATAGAAAATGCTTAGAACAGTGCCTGACTCATATTATGCAGTCAATAAATGTTAGATGCTGCTTCTGGTTTTGTGTTAATATTTGCTGTGGGAGTTTGGGCAGTTACTTAACCTTTCTAAACTTCGTTTTCTTCACCTGAGGAGGAATAGACAGGCTGTATAAAGGAGCCCCGATAGATATGAACTCAAGAAGGTGGTGCTGCTGATGGTGCTATAAAATTCTCAGTTCCACAAATTATAATGAGCAACATTTAGTTTCCAGTAGCAATGTAGTTAAGAAAACTGCAGTTTTTTCTATCATTAAATCCCAGCCTTTATTTTTCAGACAGTGCTAAAACAGGTAATGGAAGATGGTTCAAAATATGGATTAAAAAGTGAGCTTTTCTCTGATCTTCCCCAGAAGAAGATTGTGGTTGAATTCAGGTGAGTGCCTACTCTTCCTGTGTGTTGGTTAATCAATTGACTGAGGAGATGAGTGTTTTACTTTTATCATTTGAGGTCTCACGAAATTACACATGGAAAAATTAAAAACCAGTGAGAATATATTATTTTCTTAAAATCACAGTAAACTGCATAAACATTTTTGGACTCCAATAAAAAAAACCTAGTGATTATTATGGGCTCTTTTTCTTTTTGAATTGAGTATTTAACAGTTATTTTTAAAGAACTAGTTCTTTATTTTAGTAGACTTTCAAAGCAGAGGTAATGGTTACTACCATTTTAAGAATTTTAACTTTACTACCATATTAAGTAATTTGATTACCAGAGAACAAAGCCTTACATAAAGTATTTGTGATATGTAATTTTTTAAATTATCAGAAAATATCTTGAAGTTTTAATATACCTCTAAATAGTCTTCATAATAACTTTCTGGTATGCTCTCAGTATAACCATCTAATATTTGAACTGTTTTTAAGTAACCAAAAAGAAAAGAAACACTTTCAGAATACAGTTGACAGGATGACAGCTTGTGAAAATTATCAGAGGTACTGAATTTGCCTTCCTAAAAGCTGAAGAAGAGTTTTAATGAATTTTTTCCCATTTAGAAAGAACTTGCTACTAGAGCCTTTTGTTTCCTTAAGTATATATTTCTGTAGAGTATTTTAAAGAACTGATATGGAAAATATTTCAGATTTTCTAACTCATTAAAATTTATGAGGATAACTTAATTTAACTTAGATATGATTAGCACCTGGATGATCAGAGGTGAGTAGGTTTTATGGATTCCACATTTGTATTGCCTCTGCCATTCATTTGTGTTCTTAGAAAAGACAGATGCTATAAGACTCAGTAATCTCATCTGTTTATGATAAGGCCTGATTGTCAAGAAAACTAATGTTCCTATGGAGCAGTCAGATACTTAAAGTTTAAACATTTGTTTATCACAGAGGAGAGGCTGCCTTACAAAGAAATTTGCCTGTCATTTCAATTATCCTTTCTTGCATAACAGCCTACTCCAAAACTTAATACATGGATTAGCGACCTTCAGCACATGGGCAAAAAATCCAGCCTGCCACATGTTTTTGTAAAATTTTATTGGAACACAGGCTTGTACATTCATTTACATGTTGTCTGTAGTGACTGCTTTTATACTATAATGACAGTTGAGTAGTGTTGAGTTGAATAGTTGATACCAGGAGGCCTGCTAGCCTAAAATATTTACCATCTGGCTCTTTAAGAAAAGTTTGCCAACTCCTAATTAGTGTCTTGAAACAACCATTTTAATGTTCATGACTCCAAAGATCAAGAAGTCAGGGATGATTTAGCTCAGTGATTTTTCCTCTTGCCTGTGGTCACTTATGCAGCTCTGTTTATGTAGAGATTATACTGGGGCTAGAAATACAGGTACCTCATTTATTTGTGTGGCAGCTCACCTGAGGGCTGACCAGACATCTCTCTCCACATTGTCTTTCCAGCAGAGTAACCAGAACTCTTTACAAAGGTGCTCAGGGCTCCAAGATGGTAAAAACATCTGGTCTTGAAATAGGCACAGCCTCAGTTCTGTCACATTCTGCTGGTCAAAGCAAGTCATAAGATAAGCCTACAGTCAAGGGGAGGGAAAATAGACTACATTTCTTAGTCTCATAGATTTGTGGCCATCTTTAATTCTTTTCATTCATGTCTTTAAATTGATGCAGTACACTGAAGTGGGGAGCCACTTCAGTATCATATTGCTCTTACACTACTTGCTGCTACCTAACCAGTAGTAAAGGAAAGTCAGTAAGGAGGTCATCTAGTATCAGTTCCATGCATACATCCTTGAAATAATGCCATTGTAAGTTTCTTGAAACATGAAAAGTTGCCACCAGTGCTCATTTCTAACACCTTCTTTCTCATTTTCACTTTACCCTCTCCTCCCCAACCAACCTCAAAATATTAAACGCTTAGTCTTCCTTATTCAGTGATTCTCTGGCTTTTCTCCTCAGTTTTTATTTCCTATATAATGCTCTTTTGTTGTTGTTTATGCTTGTAAGAAATATCTAAAAATAACCTGTTCTATTTGAATTGTATTCTGTAGGCTTTTATTGTGATGGTTTATTTGCCTGTGGATTTGCCCCTTTCAACTTTTTTTCTAAAGCAGTTAAGGAGGGCTGGAACTTAAATGAGTATTTAATTTTGTTTTTTTTTCTTGTTGTTGTTATATTTTTTTATCATTATTTTTTAAATCTTTATTGTTGAATGTATTACAGATGTTCCTAATTTTTTCCCCATTGATCCCCTCCTCCCTACTCCCACCTTTTCCCACACTGTTGTCTGTGTCCATTGGTTATGCATATAAGTTCTTTGGTTTATCCCCCCCCCCCAACTCCCTTCTTTTTGAGGTTTGTCAGTCTAGCAACCAATTTGTTCTTCCTAATCTTTTCACCTTTTTCACCCATTCCCCCAACCCCCCTCCCATCTGGCAACCAACAAAATGTTTTCTGTATCTATGAGAATGTTTCTGTTCTGCCTGTTCATTTTGTTTGTAGATTTCATTGCCGATAGATAATGTATTCATTGCCATTTTGTTTGTTCTTATATTTTATCTTTTTCTTCGAAAAGACCCTTCAACATTTCGTATAATAACGGTTTGGTGGTGATGAACTCCTTTAACTTTTTCTTGTCTGGGAAAGTCTTTATATGGCCATCGATTCTAAATGACAGCTTTGCAGGATAGAGTAACCTTGATTGTAGGTTCCTGCTTTTCATCACTCTAAATATTTTTTGCCACTCCCTTCTGGCCTGCAAAGTTTCTTTTGAGAAATCAGCTGACAGTCTTACGGGAACTCCCATGTAAGTGACTAACTGCTTTTCTCTTGCTGCTTTTAAGATTCTCTCTTTGTCTTGAACCTTTTGCATTTTGATGATGATGTATCTTGGTGTGGGCCTCTTGGGGTTCATCGTGTTTGGGACTCTCTGTGCTTCCTGGACTTGTATGCCTGTTTCCTTCACCAAGTTAGGGAAGTTTTCTGCCATTATTGTTTTAAATAGGTTTTTGATTTCTTGTTCTCTCTCTTCTCCTTCTGGCACCCCCAAGATGCAAATGTTGGCATGCTTGAAGTTGTCCCAGAGTTTCCTTACACTATCCTCATCTTTTTGGATTCTGTTTTCTTTTTGCTGTTCTGATTGGGTGTTTTTTGCTTCCTTTTTTTCCAAATCAATGGATTCTTTCTTGGCTTTACCTACTCTACTATTGAATCTGTGTAAATTATTCTTTATTTCAGTTAGTGCCTTCTTCATTTCTGCCTGTGCCTCCTTCATTTCTGACTGGTCTTTTTTAATGCTCTTGAGGCCCTCACTAAGTTCATTGAGCATCCTTATAAGCAGTATTTTGAACTCAGCATCTGTTAGGTTGCTTATCTCCATTTCACTTAGTTCTTTTCTTGGGGTTTTGTTCTGTTCTTTCATTTGGGACCTGTTTCTTTATCTCCTCATTTTGGCTGCCTCTCTGTGTTTGTTTCTGTGTATCACTTAATGAGAGGTATGGGGCTAGCTGAGACCAGATGCTGCTCGTTTGAACGAATTTAGGAAAACCGGAAGCAGGATCCAAGACAGGCCAATCCTATGGTTAAGCAACTGGCAACAGGTTGGGTGGGCCTGAAAGTTGGGTGGGGCGGGGCCTCAGGGAATCAGCAGGGCGGGGCAGCCAGTGTGAGCTAAGTTGCTGGAGTCCCAAATATGGTGGCTGTCTTCTGCCCCAGGGCAGGGCTCACAAAAGGAACAAAAGCCTCCGACAGCACTTCTGGACTGGAGATAGCCCCCTCTCCAGCCCTTGCTCAGATGCCAAACAGCTTAGTTCTCTGTATGTCTCTGGCGCCCCTTGGGCTGCCTCCCCTCCAAGCTTAGAGGAGGTGAGTCCCATAAATCCGTGCATGGCCCTTTAAAAGGAGCTGCCTGGGGCTCCAGCCACCTCAGCCTCCCTGAGCCTCAGTTCCCACTGGTTTTTCCAGCCAGAAGTTATGGGGACTTCTCTTCCTGGCACTGGAACCCTGTGCAGGGTGCCTGGTGTGGGACGGGGACCCCTCAGTCCTTCCCAGCTGAGGTGTCCTCCTGATTTTTATCCACCACATGTGGGTATGGGAGCAGCCCATCTGCCTCCGCCCCTCCTACCTGTCTCGATGTGGCTGCTGCTTTAATTCCATAGTTGTAGGACTTCCATTCAGCTTGATTTTAGGCAGTTTTGAATGATGATTGTTCTGTAGTTTAGTTGTAACTTTGATGTGGTTGTGGGAGGACGCGATACCGCGTTTACCCACGCTGCCATCTTGACTGGAAGTCTTAAATGAGTATTTGAATGCTAATGAAGGCAGAGTACATTTCCTGGCAGCCATCTTTGCTCTCTGTTATTTTCCATCTGGCATTGCTGTGGGATGACCAGAGCCGCCCCCTCCCTTACAAGTTTTCTAGTTGCTGTGATGCTTACCATTGTGGTTTCAAAGTAGAGACAAATTGATAGAAAACATTGTTCTTGAATTTCTTCTGAAAATGAGAGCGGTGGCAGAAGAGGATATTTTAAATATATAGTATTTTAAATAGCCTGGACAACTTTCCCCCTAAAAAGCAAGAGATATAATAAATGTGCTCAAGAAACTTGCCCCCTAAATTGAGATGATGATGATAATAGGTCAAGTAATTTGCTCAGGGTCATAGAGGTAACTCTGACTCTGAAGCCTGCACACTTAACCTTTATTTCTTCCCTGAGATATAGTGTTGGTTGCCATAAATTTTGTCACATCTCAAAGCAGTGTGATGAAGCACCAGAGTAGATGATGGTCCATCATAGTTGGGCTCTACCTGGTAGGTGGTGTAAAACTTGAAGGTAACTACTGTTGCCTCTCTCCTCTCTGCAAAGTCAGCCTTTCCTATTTTGTTCCCATGAAACCTGCAGAAGCACAGTCAGTACTGGTAGCCTTTCCTCAACACAGTCTTCTCCCACCCTCTGCTGTTCCCAATGTGATGTGTTCTCACAAAACATAGTGAAGACCTCTGATTGGTAAAATGAGAAGCCAAAAGATCAAAGCACCAGTTCTGAGTGTTAGTAACTGATTTAGTGATCTCAGATGGGATAGCTTTCCTCCTGGTCTCTTTTCTTATCAGGAAAATATGAGCAGTACTATTTGTCTTTTCTTATAAAATTGAGGAAATCACATGAAGTAATTTTTTTCAAGTCCCAGTAAGGTGTCCAAACTATAATTAATTCATTGTGGCTACTTTGCTTGCCAAAGGAGTTCAATATGTATTTTTCAATTTTTTTTTATTCCCTTCCCAGTAGGAATATGGTGCCAGAGAATGGCACATTGTTGGTTTCAAGTGACCTTTTTGTCAAGGCTGGAAGACCTAGATAGATTCAATTCTAATCCTAGAGGAAAAACTATTAAAGCTCTGTGAAAGCCTAAAAACAAACAAACAAACAAACAAAAACCATAATATAAATACTTAATTTGAAAAAAAATCAAAGATTGCAAAAGGATATTAAATGAAAAGGAAATCTCCTCTCTATCCCAGTTTCCTGGTTCTTTCCTTTGGGCATTCACCAATACTAATTTCTTGGTTACCAAGTAGAGATATTCTGTGCATTTATAAACAGACCTCACATATTATATATTGTTAAACTCTAGGCTTTTTTCACTTACCTTATGTTTCTTTAATATCAGAATATCCAGGGCTGGTTTGTAATTTTGTTTCATAGTATTCTGTTTGTTGATTTTTTTTTATCAGCTTTATTGAGGTGTATTTACATACAGTACAATATAGTTCACCATGTTTTAACATGATTTGATGAGTTTTGGCAAAGGTGTATAGGTCATGTAACCACCACTACATTTATAGCATAGAACATTTTCTGTGTTTTATCTATTTCATTGATTTTTGCTATTATCTATATTATTCTCTTTTATTCTGCTTACTTTGGTCCCCCATTTCTAGTTTCTTCAAAGAAAACCTTAGATTATTAATTTGAAACTTTTTTTTTCTAGTATAAACATTTTGTGCTACAGTGTAAGTTTCACAGCTTTAGCTCACAACTTTGCTATTAAGGCAATCCTAGGGATCACCTTGTTTTTTTTCATTCTCTCAGGAATCACAGACCTTAACCATCCAGTTTTATAAAACCAGTGTTTTGTGTATTTTTCTGGTTTCCTGGTTAAACTAACTTTTTTAATATTGAAAAACTTAAGAAAACTTCAAACATACACAGCACAGAGAAAATATAAGTAAATCCCATATGCTGCTCATCATCCAGATTCAAGTCATCGAGATATTGCCACATTTGTTATATTATCTCTTTTTCTTGTTGTCTCAGTTCCCTCATCTGTAAAATAAGAGGTAAGAGTAGCTTATTTCACACCTCTTATGAGTATTAAATGAGTTAATGCACAAAACTACCTGTCAGGTAGTGAGTGCCTTAGAAGCATTTGTAATGTTAAATTATTTTATTTATTTAGATAGTTAGTTCATTAGTTAATCCTCATCAAGGATATTTTCCCATTGATTTTTAGATAGAGTGGAAGGGAGGGAGGGAGAGAGAGAGAGAGAGAGAAAGAAAGAAACATTGATGTCAGAGAGACACACTGACTGGTTGCCTCCCACACCACCCTGACCGGGGTCAAGATCTAACCTGCAACCCAGTACATGCCCTTAACCAGGAATTGAACCTGTGACCCTTCAGTCCATGGGCCAATACTCTAACCACTGAGCCAAACCAGCCAGGGTTATAATGTTAAATTATTGATTACAACTTCTCAAGCACACCAGAGGAATGATAAAAGTGTTGATTGAGAATCTGGAGTTGTGAATCAGATTTCTGATTATTCTGGGAAGCTTAATGAATAAATATTTTTATGTTTTTCTATTTTAATTTCAGATACAGTAAATATTGATAGATATTACCCATACAAACAAAATTTCTTTAGAGTCTTCAATAATTTTTAAAAAGACAAAGAGTTTGTGAACTAGTGTCCTAAATTTAATTCCCTATAGTCAACATTATTTGTATCAAAACAATCTCTCTGAATTTTTTCATCTTTTTATCAATTCTTAAATGTATCTGCTTTTTTCCAAGTGTGCCTTCTGTGTATGGCACACTTAGAGTCACAGGGTCAGTTTCACTAAGGATGATTCTTTGAGTTCTAATTTATCTTTGCTCTAAATTTCTAATTTTTAACTTATCTTTGCCCTAAATTACCAAAGGCCTTAGTCTCCTGTTGTGTTAAACTGTGGAAGCATGAACTAGTTCATTTTAGAACTCTTGTTCTTAGAACAGAAATATAACTTTTGCAATTATTTGCAGTTCACCTAATATTGCCAAAAAATTTCACGTTGGACATTTGCGTTCTACCATCATAGGTAAGTGTCGTTTCACAGAAAATACTGAATATGTATTTGGGGTGGTATTTGGTCATGCAGTCTAATGGTTTAATGCTTAAATAACAATAGCATAAAAAAGTTCAAATTTATCTGAGCTCAATGCTAATTAAATATTACATGAAATGGGGAAAATTAGGAATGGAGAAAAGAAATTTGTTTGTTTCAAATCCAAAACATTAATTTAGGAACCAGTTTTAACTGGTATGTTTGTTATGATTTTAACTTTTTGAAAATATGTATGCATATGGAGAAAATATGAAAGATGTAAAAATAAAAATAGTTATGTGAAGATGATAGTAATCTCAATTTTTTTGTTCATGCATTTAGTTTTTAAAAAGAAACTGTTGTATGTCAATTTTATCTTTTTAAAAAAAGAGACTCAATCTTCGTCATGTGAGTACTAACTGGAGTGTTCAAGACTGGAAATTGAAACAAGGCTATTCTAATAGAGACTGTTATCATGCTTCATAGCCAGAATGCTTTAGAGCAGCGATTTTCAACCTTTCTCATCTCCTGGCACACATAAAGTAATTACTAAATTCTGTGACACACCAAAAATATATTTTTTGCCAGTCTGGCAAAAAAAATAGGTATGATTTTGATTCATTCACATTGGACAGCTATTGTGTTGACTGTTGTCATTTTGTTATTTAACAATAAGGGAAAAGAGGTCAGTGCCCCTAATTAAATAGTCAGGTATTATATGTTTTAAAAAGTCTTACAGCACACTGGTTGCAAATCACTGCTTTAGTGTATGGATTTGTGATTTTCATATATTTAAAACATGATATAATGCAACAGCCCAACTTAAAAACTACAGTTAGAATTGTATAATATTAGAATTGGAAGGGGCTTTGAAATTTATCTCATCTAATCTGTCTTCCTGTATAGAAATCTGTCTACTGCATGCTTAAGAGAAAATTATTTAAACCCTACTTGAATACGTCCAAGAATTGGAGAAATCAGCACTTTGTAGCATAGATTATTATTAAACTGGAGTCATCTCTCATTGTTACAAAGTTCTCAAACTGCATTTTAAGAGAAATTACAGGACTTGATGAAAAAAAGAATATAAGAAATATACAATATAAGAAAAGCTACATGAGTAAGTCAAAAATAGAGGAGTAAGTGATGGGTAGAGCATGATAAAGTTGTTTAATACTTGTTAAGGGAACTAACTTTGGACCAGGAAGAGAGAATATGTATTGAGAATTTACTTATCATGTTAAGTTTTTTCATGTATTAGCTCAGTTAGTTTCACAACAGCCCTGTTTGGTAAGCCTGTTAATTCTAGTCTGTGGATGAGGAAACTCAGATACCAAAAGTAACTTTTCCGTAATCTTATAGCTAGTTAAGTATCATAAGCCAGGATTGGAAATTAAACAATCAATTTCAAAAGCCTAGGTTCAGTCTTTTAGTTGGACTTGTAAGGTAATAAGATGCTAAGGAAAAACAGGAATACAGTCTCAGTACCATCTGAAGAAGGTGGTTCCTTCTGCTGGGACTATATAGGTTGAGAAAGTCTCAAAGTAGGGAAGCTGGAAGAGAAGTAGCAGTCATATATACATATTGGTGAGGAATTATTTGCAGAAAACTGGATCTAATCTAGTAAAAGCCAGAAGGGATTTACTACAGGATATTGACTAATTTACAAAGTTGTTGGAGTGCTAAAGAAGCTTTGGGGTAAGCTGACAAAAATGACTCCTAAAACTATACCATAGAACTTGGTCATAAAGGAGCATCTGCCTTTTCTGCCATCACTTCCATTGCTCTAGAACTGTGCTGCCACTGCCATAGTCAGGAAACTCCCACTAGTCCTGCCTTGCCTTCTAGAATTCATTCTAGCAAAAGAGCAGCCCCAATCGTTCCTAGTCTTTCAATTACCTTGAGGTCACATAACAGGATACTAGGCCCTCTATTAGTGAGCACACACTCACACACACAATGCCTCCACAACTATGTTTATCAGAAAGAATAGAAGTAGCTCCCCTTCCACTTCATTTCCACCTTCAAAATCTCAGGCAAAATATATCTGATTGCTTAAACCTAAATTACTTCTGGAACCCTAACTGCAAGAGATTCTGGGAAAGGTAATTTTTAGGTTTCCAGTCCCTGCAGTACATTGAGGGCACACTGGAAGGAGAAAGGAATAGATATTGAATATCAAACCAGTATTGGCAGGTCCAGAAGGCCTTGGACTGCTGTGCTGTTAGGGAACAGGCATGAGAAGATGGACTACAGTGATTGAAAGAAGGTAAAGTAAGCTATTTGGAAATAAAACCAGTATGGCTCATGTTCTTTAGGGCAAAGCCAAATTATGTCTTGTTAATTACGGTGATATTTTCTGTCCTTAGGATTAACTTGAATAGCAATTACTCTAACGTGTTCCCAGTTCCCATTAATGTTAATGAAAATTCTGTTCTAGTGAAAGTTAGGAGATTCCTTGTAATAACTAACCCCCTCAATAATTTCTTATTTTCTGTAACATAGATGAAAACACAATAATGAATGTTTTTGTTTAAAAAAATTGAGTTGGTAAATTTTGCCAATAGAATTTTCTATGTTATATTTTGATAATAGAGAGGCACATGGCTCTTACCCCAAAATGGATAACAACAATGAGAAACTGTATATTTTATTCATTACTAGGAAATTTCATAGCAAATCTCAAAGAAGCTTTAGGACATCAAGTAACCAGAATAAATTACCTTGGAGATTGGGGTATGCAGTTTGGTAAGTAAGTTTGAGATTTTATTTTTTATTTCACTGTTAAATTTAGTATGTTTTAATATCATGTCACTTGGTCATCTGGACAAAATATAGGTAGAATTCCATTAGATAAAGTAGTGTCTCCTACCTATTTTTTTTTTTTCTTCATAAATTTTGTATTCTATTTATTAGATTAATTCTCATTGCACAAGTAAGTTTGGATGAGGAAACGTCACACATGCAGAGAAACATCTGACAAATACAGCCTTTTGTGGTTTTATTAAAGAAAAGTAGCTTATATTTGTGAGTTAAATGTAGAAGTGAGTATACAGGGAAAACGTTAAGTCTAGCTATATGCACCCTTCTTAACCCCAGCCACACCATTTTTTAAACAAGGGAAGTCCAGCCTCTCTAGGCCATCCTATGTGAAGGATGATCTGTTTTTATATCCTGGGCCTGTGGCCAAGAAGAAAAAGAGAGGAAGAGAGGAGTGAGACCCAGACAGATGACTGTCACAGATTATCTCTAGCATCAAGAGTTTAGTCAGAATCATTCCTAGCTCATATATACCAATAATCAAGGTATAGAAGGGCAAGATAAATGTAGTAGCTAAGGTGGTAAAGGACTGATAGCATGTGAAATGCAAACTTTTGAAAATCTCTTGCAACTACTATGTGTGTTTTAAGATCCAGTCCTTACAGTATCACCTCTGTAAAGCATTCTGACACACAGACACACACTTGCCCACCTTCTCACATCACCAAGTTCCTAATACCCAGCTCTATTCAAATAGGCTTCTGTCTTACTCTCTTATTTGTGGGCTTCTCTCCCTGCTAGACGATGTGTTTTTTGAGCGCATGGAGTGTGTCTTTATTTTTTTTTCCATAGTGCTTGGCACATAAAAGGCACTTAGAATGATGAATGACTTTGTCCTGGGAAATCTTTTACAATCCTAATCCAAAAGAAAGGCCAGGTAATATTTTAAAGCCTCTATAAAGTGCAGTGTACACTGCTAGTTCTAAAGCTAACTGATAGTATTATGTTCCATATCTACTGAAATGAAATCAAAGCTTTCAAAAGACAGACTTATCATGACCTTCTTTTATGAAGATTATACTTTCCATTATAAAAATATTTTTAGACCGTAAGAAGGGTACAACTTGAACCTGTTAATAGTGCCCTTATATTCACTGTGGAGGAATCAGAAAACATGCCCTGCATTTTAAAAATCTACCTGCAGTTCACAACAGCTGGTAGTCAGAGTGTTAGGCTCTAAGCTCAACAATCAGATTTAATAGATGGTGTCTGCTTTATATTAGTTTGACCGATTTTAGCATTACACAGGCATTAGCAAATATGTGATTATGGTATTCATGAAATTTTAGCTGCAGGATTTTATTATAGCTGTTTTTCTGTTAAGGACTACAGTGGTTAATGATCTGTCACCATTTCCATTATAACTGTTGTTGAAGAGTTTTAATTTTGGCTGTTTTAACTATCCCCTATTGAAAGTTGGCATACATTCCTAGGCACAGAATTAGTATTTGAAATATATTAGGTGAAATCTTAAATGGAATTGGCCTTTTCTTTTCCTGTTTCTGTTTTTTAGAGCATTCTGGGCATCTTTTCACACCCTGCTTGCTCCTAAGACCTGGACTCACAATTATATTTGCTTTTGCTTGAAAGTGAATAGAGTTGGTATATATTTTAGTCATCCTTCTAGTTCCTGTCTAAGCTCCAAAGTATTGTATATCTATGTGTTCAGTAAGCATCCTCCTTGCTGCTGAGCCTGGATAGGAAAATATATGCCAATCATTAGAGCCCAGAGGCAATAGCTCCTTTAGAATTGAAGCTTGGTAATTGATACAGTTGTAGAAACCAATGGTTTTTTAAATAATTAAACTACCTTTTATCGCTGTTGGCCCCAGGCTGCAGATATCCTTTCAAACTGAAATTGTGGTCATCTTTTAGCAAAATATCTTGAGAGTATAAATATCACAGTCCATACTAGGCATCTTCATTGCTGGTTTATAAACTTCAATTTCTATTTTTTTAAAATGTTCAGATTAACACTATCTCTGAATGCTGAACTTACCATTAAAAAAAGTCATTGTCAAAAGACAAAAATATGGCCAGATTTAAGAATTTTGTTGTTTGGTCACCTTTACTGGGAGAAGTAATCTATTATTGTTTTAATCCAGTTATTATTTTTTTTTAATCCTCACCCGAGGACATTTTTCCATTTTTTGTTCAGGTAGACTGGGAGGGAGAGAGAGGAAGAGAGAGAGAGAAATATCGATGTGAAAGGGACACATCGAGTGGCTGCCACCCACACAACCAACCAGGGCCTGGGACAAACTGCAACTGAGGTACGCGCCGACGCTCTAACCACTTAGCCAAACCGGCCAGGGCTAATCCAGTTATTAAAAAAAATATTTTTCTTTATTGATTTTATTTATTTATTTATTTTTTTATCCTCACCCGAGGACATTTTTCCATCTTTTGTACAGACAGAGTGGGAGGGAGAGAGAGGAAGAGAGAGAGAGGGAAACATCGATGTGAAAGGGACACATCGAGTGGCTGCCACCCGCATGACCAACCAGGGCTGGGGACAAACTGCAACCAAGGTACATGCCCTTAGCGGGAACCGAACCCGGGTCTCTCCGGACCGCAGGCGGACACTCTAACCGCTGAGCCAAACTGGCCAGGGCTTCTTTATTGATTTTAGAGAGGGAGAGAAAGATAGAAACATCAATGAGAAAGAACATTGATCGGCCTCCTCCTGCATGTCCCCCACTGGGGATAGGGCTCACAACCTGGGCATGTGCCCTGACCGGAAATCGAACCAGTGACCTCTTGGTGCACGGGTTGACACTCAACCACTGAGCCACACTGGCCAGGCAGTGCAGTCATTTTTTTAAGAACTAATATTATAATACCCAGATAATCCGTACCTTTGTTTTATTTTAACATCTGCAAGTTTAAAAAGAAAGTTTTGAAATCACTTGCCATCAGTTTTCACAGAATTTGAGTACCAAATGCCCAGCATCATGATGTTTTCCCCAGAGTTACTTGCTCAACAAATGCTTATCATGTCTGTTAGGGAGGTGTTGAGCACTGTTAGTACAAAGATAAATTAGGTTTACCCCTACCTTTGATGAGCTCATAGTCTGTTGGTTTCTGTGAAGTTAATTTCAGTAATTGATCCATTTCAATATATTGAATTTTTGATTCAATATATTGAATTTGACTTGTGTCAGTTTATGGGGTAGCATAAGGTGTTTCGCAGTGTTCTCAAGATACATAATTATGGGAGATTGATCTTTTTATAGAGCTATATCTATTCCCTGCCATGATTGTTCACTACTGTTCCATTTTATGTTTCCATTTACGGATTATTGTGGTAGGTCTTCTGGGAACTGGCTACCAACTCTTTGGCTATGAAGAAAAACTCCAGTCCAATCCTTTGCAGCATCTGTTTGAAGTAAGTTGTCAACAAACAATATTAGAAAATGCTTCAACTTTTTTCCCCCTCAGAGCTCTGGGCAGCTTGGTAGCACATTTTTAATGCCAGAGGTTTTAACAAATATTCCTTAAAACAAGAAACCAATAAATTGAAAATGTTGCTTTTACTTTACTAGGGAGTTCTTTTAATTTTCAAATCCAAGTGTTCTTTTATTACTATTTTAATTGATTTGTGACAGTAGTTCTCCAGGTATAGAATCTTCTTAGAATAAACACATCAGAGAACAGTTTAACACAGAGGGAAATTTCTCAGTTTTTGTCAGTTATATACTGCAGCTTCCTTCTTGGTAGTAACTATAATTCATTTAGACTTGAAGAACATGAGAATATACGTTTTTTGGCTCTTGTTCTGCTGTGGAGGAAAGTAGGTGTGTTTCTTTCTGAATTTGTATATACTTTTTTCATTTTTATCTTTCAGTTCCTTTTCCTGGCTTTTATTCAATGTGAACTCCTTTCTATTCTATTTCATTTTTAGTCCCTTCATTTCTCTGGTCCTCAGGCTGACGCTCCAACCGCTGAGCCAAACCGGCCAGAGCTAGTAGTCCCTTCATTTCTCTATCATCAGTCCTTCTTGGAGTTCATTAATAAAACTCTTCCTGTCCAATTAATCTCCAGGGATGTGTTTCCTTTTCATTGTCTTCATTTTATCAGCTATTTCTGGACCTCACAAGAAGAAATACAGATACACTATCACCATGTTGGTGACAGACCATGGGGTCAAACTAAAGATGTTATACCTGTGTATGAGGAAGAGCGAGGGCCAAAATAATGCTTTATTTCTCTAGCCAAAGCCACAGAGAGCCGTTTTGTTGTTTTTCTTTTGTTAAATGGTTTTTCTTCTACAGCTGGCTTTGTAGTTAAATTTCACAAAAATACATTCTTATTCTTGAACATCTTTACAGGTTTGTAATTTCCTACTGAGTCCATGCCTACACTGCACTTTAAATGCCTACATTTTGATATATAATATTAACCAAAATATTTTTTCTTTCCCATAAAGAGCGTTATTGATAGGCAAGAGTTTAAAAATTAATAATTCTTTATGGTCGTCTGTAAGTAAAGCATGCCACCTTAGCACCTGGAATTTTTACTGTGTTACTTTTTTTTTTTTTTATCCTCACCCAAGGACATTTTTCCATTTTTTTGTTCAGATAGAGCGGGAGGGAGAGAAAGGCAGAGAGAGAGAGAGAAACATCAACGTGAAAAGGACACATCGAGTGGCCACCACCTGCACGACCCAACCAGGGCCAGGGACAAACCGCAACCGAGGTACATGCCCTTAGCGGAAACCGAACCCATGTCTCTTGGGACCACAGGCGGACGCTCTAACTACTGAGCCAAACCGGCCAGGGCTTTATTGTATTACTTTGTTATACTTTGAATAATGGTGAGTATTTTTTTTACCACAAACTTAGCGAACCTTTTGGCAGATCCAGGCCCACAGACACAACCCATGGTACAGAAAAGAACAACCTGAAAAAACAGGTGGCTGTCTATTAATAACTAAAAACTCATGGAACAGTGACCTTTACTTTCATTAAGTGTTCTTTTACCTAATAACTTCATAGGGGAGTAGCATTTATGGACAAAAGAGTGCAAGTCAAATATACCTTACCTTGCTGTTTGGAATAGAAGATGGAAATCCATTAGAGCACCACCTGCTTTCTTTCTCCTTCCTTTGCAGGACAGAAAAAAATGTAGAGCCTAAAGTGACAATCTCCAGGTTATTTTAGCTTTGTGCTAATTCTTGCAGACTTAGTTTTTACTTTATTTTATTTTATATGTGTTTATAGTTTTTGTTTGTTTGTTTGTTTGTTTATTTTAGAGAGAGAGGGAGAGAGAAATAGAAACATCGAGGAAAGAGAACAGCTATTGGCCGCCTCCTGCATGCCCCCCCACTGGGGATTGAGCCCATAATCTGAGCAGGTGCCCTGACCAGGAATCAAACTGGCAACCTCTTCGTGCATGGGTCGTTGCTCAACCACTGAGCCACACCAGCTAGGCCCTAGTTTTTATTTTCAAATTACAGTTGTTACTGTAGATTACTTTCCACAACTTTTAGCATAAAATATTTTTCCCTTTTTAAAGCTTTAAGCAAATATTAATAAATTATTTTATTCTGTTCCTTAAAAAAACAAACACGGAACCATGATCAAAACCCTGGTTTTTTTCTTTGCCAGATTATAGTTGTGAGCTCTTTGAGAGGAAGGACCGTATCTTTCTGATATTTTATCTCCAACCCCAAACATTGTGCCTTACAGGAAATGTTTGAATGAATTTGGTCTTGTCCCTTTCTCTCTCTTTCATTTAAGTTATACAGTATAAAACCTATTGTATTGCTCCAGAGAAGGGCTAACTAAGATAAGACACACTAGTTACTATTTGTCAGATTCTAACTTACTTTATTATGCGGTTTACTAATGAAGAACCCAAGGAGACCCAGGATTCCAGCACAGGCAGTTTGGCTCCCAAGTGCTCTGTGTACTACACTGCTCTACTCCCCACTGGCACTACAGAGTGCCTTTTTGAGCCATTTATTTCCATTGGTTGTAATTACTCACATAGTATTTTCTCTCTTTCATCCTCAAATTGCTGTACCAGGGATGCAATTAGTAATTTAGTTATGGGAGTTTCAATCTCTGGCGTATTTGTTTTGAATTTGGCGTAAGTCATCCAGTAGCAGATTTGTGTGGCCTACCTCTCTTTATTTTTTAAAAATATGTTTTTATTGATTGTTTAAAGAGGGGAAGGGAGAGAGAAAGATAGAAAAACATCTATCAGCTGCCTCCCGCATGCCTTACTGGGGATCAAGCCCACAACCTGGGTATGTGCCCTGACCGGGAATTGAACTGGGACCTGTCAGTCCATGGGACTGACTCTCAGTCCACTGAGCCACACCTCCCTTTAAATTACACCATCTTCAGTGTACCCTTTTTATTTATTTTATTTTTTTATTTTATTTTATTTTTTTAGCCTCACCCGAGGACATTTTTCCATTTTTTGTTCAGATAGAGTGGGAGGGAGAGAGAAAGAGAGAAAGAAAGAAAGGTCGACATGAAAGGTCACCCGCACGACCCAACCAGGGCCGGGGACAAACTGCAACCGAGGTACGTGCCCTTAGTGGGAACCGAACCCGGGTCTCTCCGGACTGCAGGTTGACGCTCCAACTGCTGAGCCAAACCGGCCAGGGCATCAGTATCCCCTTTTTAGTGTCTTGGCCAGATTAGAAATGATATTTTATGATAGTTTTAGCATTTCTTTTTTGTGATTAAATTATTTAACACCTCCAGTCATTTCTTTACTGCATTTTCATTTTTGTGCTTTTCTTTATTACTAGTTTTTCTCTGTACCTATAGTCATTCTCTGCCAATACATCTGGCTGTTTTATACATAAATTTAGGTCTTTTGTAGGCCAACATTTAAAACTTTTCTTTAGTTCTAATTTTTTGTCACAAAATAGGGAAGTGGTTACATAGTAGTTCTTCCCTGATGAATTTGCTGATGTGTTAAACAACTAATATATTTGCTGTTTGGAATTTATACTGTTGTTACCATGAAAACAATTGTAATTATATTTGAATCACTTACAGAAAGCCTTTCTGTTTATATGGAAAAGTAATTTCTTATAAAAAGGTAACAGGTGTTAAATCTAAATCATGGTTCTATGGATGTCATCATTTACTTTTGTTTTCATAATAATATCTAGAAGAGCCCTGGCCGGTTTGGCTCAGCGGTTAGAGCGTCGGCCTGTGGTCCGGAGAGACCCGGGTTCGGTTCCCGCTAAGGGCACATACCTTGGTTGCAGTTTGTCCCCAGCCCTGGTTGGGTCGTGTGGGTGGCAACCACTCGATGTGTCGCTTTCACATCGATGTTTCTCTCTCTCTCTCTCCCACTCACTCTATCTGAACAAAATATCGAAAAATGTCCTCGGGTGAGGATAAAAAAAATAAAAATAAAAAAATAATATCTAGAAGAAATTTCTCAGAGTTTTTCCTAGATTTAAACTGCTTGAATGGACCTTAATAACATCTAACACTGTACCTTTAGGAATATATAACCCAACCTTTTTCCTTTTTCTTTTTGCTACAGAAGGTTTTAGAATTTGATGCATTGCATGTTGCTTATTAATATGGATTTTGGTAACCATAGAGATTCCTCTGAGCCCTGAGTGGTTTTGCTCAGTGGTTAGAGCATTGGCCCTCGGACTGAGGCGTCACAGGTTTGATTCTGGTCAGGACCAGGTACCTGGGTTGCAGGTTCAATCTCTGACCCCAGTAAGGGTCATGCAGGAGGCAACCAATCAATGTGTCCCTCTCACATTGATGTTTCTCTCTCTCCCTCCCTCCCTTCCTATTTCTCAATCTAAAAATCAGTGGAAAAATATCCTCAGGTGAGGATTAACAACAAAAAAAATTTCTCTGAAATATGGATAGCCTCTCACAAGACATAAAGTATGCATTAGCCCTGTACCCTATTTCTGGCATTTATAAAGGTAACAAAATACGTTAATACAGATAGTATAAATTTTTTTGTAAGTTCAAAATGATCGCCTTAGTATTTCATTATTTTTACTTTGCCCCATTCTGAAAGGATTTGAGGTAATTACAGTGATGGGTATTTAAAACACACACGCACACACACACAGAAAGTCAGAGGATAATGTATTATTAGGTAATAGTATATAAGAGATTTGACCCTGTGTTTCCGTATATGAGTAGCATAAAAAAGGTAGTAAGTAAAAATACAGGGTAATATCAAAACCAATTTGATGAGTGGTAATGTTTACTTGCTCTCATTTTCTAAAATGTGGATGAAGTATCAATTTCTCAAGAGCATATTTTTCCTAGTGGTAGAGTCTCAGAACAATTTCTCAAACTTAAGAAAATAATTCAAGATTAAATCGATTCTAGACATATACAGGATTATTTATGCAGTTAGAAATTTGTATTGTATAAATAA